ATCAGCCTTGAAGTTTTTGCTAATTGGATTGAACAGAACGCCGAATTTGGAGATAATTCTACAAAAGACAACCTATTAAAAGAACTAATTAAACTTTTCGAAAATAAACCGAAAAAACCTGAAGAGCCAACAAATACACCCGAAGTGCAAAAACAAAATGAAAAATCTTCAATCCCAAGTTGTTTTTTAATAAAAACAGCATTTTTTGTTAAAAAACTTAAAGTTGACGAACAAAAGCCACTATTAAAAACTGCTACATACTTTACTCTTGGAAATATGCTTGCTTCTTTCATATTGCAAGAGCGAACTGAGATTGAACCAGTTGAGTAAAGAGTTAGATAAAGAGATATGAAAGTTGTTAGTTAGTTTTTTTAGGATTAGTTGAAGTTGTTTATATTGGTCTAGTGTAATTGTATCTTGAATAAGTAAGAGTATTGAATTATATATAGTAGAGTTTGAAGAGTGATTTTGTGAATTAAGAATTTGGATTATAGTGTTTGGTGTAGCTTCTGAAAAGTTTAGAGAGTTTAAGATATTGATGGTTTATTAATAAGAATGTTTTGTAGATTGTAAGTATAGAGTGAGCATTGGAGTAAATGTTTAATGCTTTTATATTGATTACAATAAGAGCAATTTGAAGTTAAATAAAGTAGAGAGTAGCGAATATTTAAATTTAACATTGTTGGCAGACTATTAAGAAGGATTTTATTTCTAATTGAATAAAGTTTCAAGTTAGAATTTTGAAAGTTAAAATAGTTTAGTTAATAATACCTCATATTTAAAAGTTCTTATTTGTTTGATTTCTCTATATTGATATCTGTTTTTAGATTTAGTTTTTACAATAATATTATCAAAGATTTATATTGCCTTTTACTTAAATCTTTCAAAATTAATTTTTATTTTTTAGTTTTAAGATTTATATAATTACAAAAATTTATTTTAGATTTGAACTGCCTAGTACTTGTTGGTATTCTTTTGTATAATCAAGATATACAGATATTTTATAATTTGTTAATTAGGTTAATATAACTATAGTTACAAATATGATATTTTAACTGATTGATAGGGTGTGATAACTTAGTAAAGTGAATAAGTTGTTATCCCTCCAAGTAGTAGGTTGTGAGTTCAAAACTCACCAAAGGTAAAATTTAGATAATTATTTATGTAATATATAGATGATATTATAGTAATAGCATTTTGTCAATCAGTTAGAATAGAATACCTATAACTATGCTTGCACTAGCATAACTGGCAGGTTTGGGAAAATAAATACCAATATGAAGAAATTAGATGAACAAAAACCTTGGATAAGAGGTATCATTGACCAGGCTGCTGATTTTGGACTAAAGAAAAAGGATATTAGGTTAGCTTTAATATACCAAAAACAGGTCACAGTTCTTCTAGGCTATTTGAATTGTGAGTCCAAAGTCAAAACAAAGGTATACTAAAAGTATTAGGAATATGCTATAAAGTCAGTGCTAGAGTTTGGTTGAATTCTGTAAGGGTAGCCCTTGTTATTATTCTAAAAGTGAATAGATAGTTAACAATAAGAGGCTCTTGCATCTTACTGGCAGATAACATACTCTAAAATATGTAATGGCCTAGAAACTAATACAAATAAAAAAGTTGCTTAAAGACAAGTATGTCATTAAATTTCCTAATGATCAATGATCATCAGGTAATTACAGAATATGTGATATATATAACAGAAGAAACTGTTAATGTTATATAAATGTTTATGTATTGTCAAATTACAAAATTTAAAAAATTAATTAAATAATGATAATAATAATGAAAGCAAAACAAAATAGAATAAATTAATATAAAATTTATATTTTAAAGTTTAAAATAAGTGCCTAAATAGGCAAATATATATTTATTAATTTATTTACTTGTTAATACAATTAATTAATGTCTATATAGCTATTATAACTTAATACAATAATCTCTTCTATACTTTGACTTTATCAAATTATTATTTTTTTTTTTTAAATAGTAAGGTTAGTACTTGTGATCCAGGATTTTATTGATAGTAGTATATTTGGCTAATGGTTACTTTACAACCACAGGGAGCAATCATAGAAAGAATGTACAACTAGCTACTTGTACAACTTTAGTTATTGTCTAATTTAAGTAGTCCACCTGAAGGTTCTATACTAGCTGCCATACCTGGAACCCACTTGTAGGTTCCCTATTTAACTACTTTGTTTCTATATTTACCTACTTACCTCTGCTTACCATGATCCTAGCCGATGCTGATGAAAATATGCTATGGCCACTAAGTCTTTAAAGCAGTTCTTTGAAACCTTTGACCTTGTACTAAACCTTTTAGAATCTTCTGTATCCCATTCTTACAGCTGTTCTGGTATCACTATAGCCGAGACCAATACTGGCAGTCAGGGCATAACATTAAACTACTATGACCTTGTAGAGTTCACCCCAATCCTAGTACTTACTTTACAACATATTCTTACTACTTTGGTATTCAATTTAAGTTCTACCAAGCTGCCATTTCAGATAGCCCAAAATGGTAGAATGAGACTGTACCTCTGGTTTACATGTTTGCCAACATGTACCTTTTTTCTTTAGAACTCAGAAATTCTGATAGCCTGGTTGGTTCATTCGGTCCTTTCTCAAAGACCAGCATATTTGCCTAGTTTCACAAGTTCTAGCTTCATTTCATAAGTCTAGTCTTTACAATAGCACCATTGAAAGCTCGGATTACCTCTCTACTCAGGTCTTCCAAGTAGGCTTCCATCTTTCTTCTATTGGTTCTTATAATTTACATAGCCATAAGGACTTATTGTAAGTTTGCACCACCTAGTACCGGTTTGCATTCCTTCATGTAACCACAGACCTTGTTACAAAAAACAATGTCATGTGACTATTACACAAATGCCATGTGACCTGCCAGTCATGCTGGTGCGATATAAATTACAAGTGTCTTATTCCAACCAATTGCGAGAAACAGTTAATCATAATACAGGGAGAATTTTTAAATTTTCCGTCGACACTAGAATTTGAACTCTGGACCTGCCACTTGGAGGTTGACAACCTAACCACTTCACTAGGTCGCCACACCCCACTTCATCAAATTATATAAAATCCAAATATTCTATTTCATATAATCTTTTATAACATAATCTTAATTCATTTAATTTCAATAAAACAGTACAATATAGCAATATATAATATATACTGCTGTACTGTACAGTAAATCTTTATTGTATCTTAAATAAAAAATTTTAAATATAACTAGTTAAACTTGTTACTTAGACTTTTTAAATTCTATGCAAAATATATAATAAATATGATATAAATCAATATTTTTTACTCAGTTTACCTTTATTAAATTGTTACTTTTAACTTATTTCCTTTTCTATTTGCTCAACAAGTTGAATTTTATTGTTCTAGTAGTTTTGTATCAACTGATATTGCATGAAAACTTCAACTTTGCTTAGTAGACTTTTCATATTTCATAAGGAAGATAGGCTACACAGGCCTCATAAAAAAGTACTTTAAAAATGTATAAATTACAACTTCAATCAATTGTATAATGTGTTTCTATTTTTAGATATAGTTCCTTCTGTTGATATATATAGATTTTTTTTCTTTGCATTTTTTTCTTACACAACATTTAAGTTCTATTTGAAGAGATAAAGAATTTTTTTATAATATTTAAGTTTATTTGCAGTATTAAGAAGATGCTGCTTCAAGATAATAGCATAATAACATTGATTTTTTTTTATATATATACCTTTTTTTTTTACTCACAGCTTAAATAATAGCAAATGTTTTTTTTTTTTTTGACAATATATATATATTTTTTAATAAAAACTGCTAAGATGAACATTAACAATATTGGAAATAAAGAAAATCAAATAGTAATATTCAACATTTTTGTAAATAAAGACACCCAAGTATATACATTATTATATCTCACTTCTGACCAAAGATGTGAACTTCTTTTTAATGTTAACTAACTATTTGAGATTCAAGCTAAGGATTTTAATAGCAAATGGTGACCTTTTGTCATAAATGTTTGAACAAGGTACAGTTCTTGAAGTTATAATAATAGCAACTTGTGAATGGCATATGCATGCCATTTTACTAAGCATAACCAGTTAAGTGTTTACAAAAAAGGAGTTTCAATTGAAAAGCATAGAAAAATGAAAATATGTTCACCAGATTTATGTCATGCAAAAATCAGGGTCTTGTAGTTCATAAATGAACAAAAGATCCTTGTTGAGTGATATCCAAATAGCCAGAATCATGTATATACTATCAAAAGAGATAAAAAATTGAAACATTCTCAGTTTGTTTGTAGCCTGGTGGAGGAAGAAGCAATTAAGAATTATCTGCCTCTAGCTATTATAAACACAATCAAAGAGTATACAACCAATAGGTTGGATCTCAGTGCTAGTGTAAAGAAATTAAAGTGAATGGAAGTTTATAATATAAAAAAAAAGTTTATAGATTACAGGATTTATATTTTATAAACAATTTAAATTTAGAGATAAACATTAAAGAATTCATTCATTTTTTTTAAAAAAAAGAATATCTTGTAGAACATTATGGTTAGTTAGCTTAGAGTTTTGTTTTTGTACATCCAGTTCAGTTAAGAAACTCTGTTGCTTTGGGTAGTTAATATTAATTGACTTAACGCATAAAACAAACAAATATGATTAGAAATTGTTTATGTTATATATTCATAATAACTATAATGCTTGGATGTTGAAGCCTATTTTTTTGTTAGCACTGAGACTAACAAAATGGTTGCAGGAGCTCTGTAGATAATTTAGTATTTTAAAAGTTTTTAGGCATCTTGTTACTTCCTTGCAGATCAAAGTAGTATTGAGGCAAAAAGTATTTTTAAGACTTTTCTAGGTTTATCAAAAGGTGAACAGTCATGCAATGTTTTTTTTTTTAGTGTCCATGTGCTTCGTACTTGGATGAGTAAAATTTATAAACAAAAAGTTCAGAGTAAAATGATATACATAATGCACAAAGTAACAAAAGCTAGATATGAAGAACTTATTAAAGAAGCAATTAATAAATGCCAAGTTCCTAACATTAAACAATATATATTACAATATTATGCAAGAAATACAAATCAATAGGCCCTTTGGGCCTGACAACATTCTTCTCTTCTTTTACAAATAACCTTGACAAATGTAATCAAATCATACCATAGTAAGCTAAAAAGAACAACTATTTTTCATTATGGGTTAATAAATAGTTTTTGTCTATTTGTACTTTTTATTTTATATTGAATATTACAATTTTATTTGTATAATGAATAAATAAATTTATAATTAAACTATTAAGATGCATGTGCCAAAATAGTTATATTTGATAAAAAAAACAATTGGATTCAGAAAATATAGCTTTTAAGATTCATATGAAACAAATTTCAGCCCTTGATATAGGTTATAAAATTCTTGACCAAATCTATAAGTTCTTATTTTTCATACAACAATTAATTATTAGTAAAATACATGCTGTTAAAAACAAATTGAAAAGAGTAAAAAATCACCAAACCTTATATCTCCTAACTATTATTGTCTTTTTTTCATCAATACCTACTTCTGTATTGGTATATATTTCATAAGCATCTATACAGAAAAAAAAAATACTAACTTCTAGTGTTTGAAAATAGTTTTAGCAAATATATATAGAGAGTGAGTTTGAAGTATATACTAATCATAAGTTAGTAGAAATTGACTTGTCCAAAAAAACAAAGACTAAGAAAGCTTTGAAAAAATGGCATTTAGTAGTAAATAAATTAATTAAAAGGATACAATGCTTATTAGAAGGTCAAAGAAGAAGGTAATGTAGCACAAAAGATTGCATTTATTGAAACATTGTCATCTTTTTTAAACATAATCCAAAATTTGAAAAACAAGAAATGTAAAAAATTTAAATAAAATAGTTAAATTACTAGCAAATTTAAATAAATTATTAGAAATTAAGTCAAATGTTGCATTTGTATTAAGAAGTTGTAAAGTAACTTATCATAAGAATATATGTGAAGAATTACTTGCAGATTTAAATAATTCATTAGACATTGAACTGAATAATGCATTTATATTGAATGAATATGAAGAAGATATATCAGATGATAATAAATATAAAAAATTACTCAGATTTAAATAAATCATTAAAATTAAACAAAACAGCATTTGCATTAAAATACTATAAAGCAACTTATTGCATGTTGAATAAATATACAAATTCATTAACAGATTGAAATAATTTATTACAAATTAAATCAAATAATATATTTGCATTAAAAAACTAGTAGTACTTACTTAAAAATAGATAAGTATAAAAAATTACTAGCAGATTTAAGTAATTTACTAGAAATTAAATCAAAAAATGAAGAAACATTGAAAATTCATAGAGAAACTTATTGCATGATAAATAGATATAAGAATCATTTGCAGATTTAAATAAATCATTAGAAATTTCACCAAATAATATATTTGTATTAAGTAAACATGAAAAGACTTAATGCATAATGAATAGATATAAAATAATCATTAGCAGATTTAAATAAATCATTAGAAATTAAACCATTAATAACTTGTGAGAAAACATATGAAAAATTAAATAAATCATTAGAAATTGCACCAAATAGTGAATTTGCATTAAGAATTCATGTAGAAACTTGTCACATGATAAATAGATATAAAGAATCACTTGTATATTTTAAACAAATTATTAGAAATTAAATCAAATAATGCATTTACATTAAGTAAATACAGAGAAATGTATTGTATAATAAATAGATATAAAAAATCACTTGCAGATTTAAATAAATCATTAAAAATTAAGCCAAATAATTTACTTTTTTATTTATAAAGTTTGAAAACTTTGATCGAAGATATCTTGACAACCATTGCATTAAATTTAATAGAAATTTTTATTTAAATTCTACATATTTGTAGAATTCAGATAAAAAATTTATCATCAAATTTGATGCAGTGTCATCGAGATAGCATCAATTAAAGTGGTTAAAAGTTTTGTGCAGCTAGATGTTTTAAAAAAATTCCAAACTTTAATCAAAGATATCTCAATAACTACTGCATAATATTTGATGAAAATTTTTTTTATTTAAGTTCTAAATCTGTAGAATTTAATTTTATCAAATTTAATGCAGTGGTTGTCAAGATATCTTTGATTAAAGTTTGATTAAAAATGTTGATGCATCTACTACTATATGGATGCTTTAAAAAATTCCAAACTTTAATTAAAGATATCTTAATAGCTACTGCATAATATTTAATAAACTTTTTTTATTTAAACTCTACAGGTCTGTAGAATTCAAATAAAAATTTTTATCAAATTTGATGCAGTGGTCATTGAGATAATTTTGATTAAAGTTTGTTAAAAATTTTGGCACAGCTACTACTGTATATATAAGATGTTTTAAATAATTCTAAACTTTAATCAAAGATATCTCAATGGCCACCACATGAAATTCAATGAAAGTTTTTTATTTGAACTCTATGAGTTTATAGAATTCAAATAAAAAAAATTTCATCAAATTTCATGCAGTGGTCATCAAGATATCTTCAATTAAATTTAGTTAAAACTTGTGGCATAGCACATATAATAGATGTTTTAAAAAACTCAAAAATTTGATTGAAGATACCTTGCAACCACTTTATCAAATTTGATAAAAATTTTTTTATTTGAATTTTACAATTCTTCAGAATTCAAATAAAAAAAATTTAATCAACTATTATGTAGTAGTTGTTGAAATGTCCTCAATTAAAGTTAGTTAAAAATTATAGCACAGATATACTACTATAAGTAATAGATATTTTAAAAAATTCTAAAACTTTATCGAAGATATCTCAATAACTAGTGTATTGAATTCAATGAAAATGTTTTTATTTGAATTTTACTAATCTGTAGAATTCAAATTAAAAAATTTTGATTAAATTTAATGTAGTAGTCATCAAAATATCTTCAAAGATTTCAAATTTTATAAATAAAAAGTATTATAGTTTACTTACTAAATTCTGTGATTACCTAATGATCATTGATCATCAGGAAATCTTGTGATGTACCTGGCTTTAAGTGATCTACAAAAAGAATAAATACTATACTGCTCAAACAGTATACCAGTTAGGTATATACAAAAGGTTAGTTGGGGTTACATTATAATAAAGCAAATGATCAGAAGGTTTAAATGAATAATCTTTTAATAGGTTATAAGTATGACATCTAGTGTAAAATCTTAAAGCAGACTACTTAAATAGACAACCAAAAGTTGCACACATAACTAGTTGTACTCTTATCATTGTAAAAATAGTTGTAATAACTAATTTAATAAAAGTCAATAAAGTATTACTACAAAGTATAGCTTTTAAAAAAAAATAAAAATAAAAAAAAAACTAATTAATAAAAAAATAGTTGTTATAATACAGATGATTGTTTAAATTTTTTTATTGATAAAGTTTTGAACTTTAAATTTGTTATTTGAAAAGATAACAATTTATTTACTTTATTTAGTCATTATATTTTTGATTATATAAATCTAATAAAAGGGTATGACAACCTAGTAAAGTAGATAGATTATTAATCCTCAAGTGGCAGGTCTAAGGTTCAATTTCTACAGATGATGAATTTTGAAAATTATATCTGTGTTATAGTAACTATCTCTTGTCAATCAGTTGAGTTTTGGGCATTTGTAATCTTAGGTACACCAAGTCAGGTTCTACCTGACATTAGGAGCTTAGAGCATCTATGCAAAATGTAATATTACATGATACATATACATAAAGGAATGTAAAACAGTATCATATAAGGTTTCAGTGCAAACCTATGATAAGACCACTGGGCATAGAAGGCTAAAAAACCAAAAAGACAGAAACTCACTTAGAAATTCCAAATAAAAAGGTAGCACAAATTTTCGATGATGTCATTGGACTGATGGAAGCTCATGAAACACCTTCATAGGAACTGTCAAATAAACTGAATGACAAAGATATATAGAAGAGCATATGACCAACCAGGCTGCTGGAATCACTGAAGGAAAAGGATATATAAGTATACTATACCAGGCCATCTAAATTGGAAGTCTGAAAAGTCAGTTAGTTCTGAGTTGTGGCTAGTAGAGAATGATGAAGAAGAAGTCAGAAAGATGGGTACCAGGGTTTGGATAAACTTTACAAGTGTAATAGCAGTTTAAAGGGTAACCCTGACTGCAAGTGTTGGTCTCAACCATAGCATCAAACCAGGTTAGCAGTAAAAGAAAATACAGCTCACTTTGGTAGGTTTATTTCGAAGATAAAAATAGTCTAAGGATTATAATCTTATGGTCAAATGTGAATAGATCTGGGTCTGTAATCTAGTAAAATTAATATTAGAGTTAGATTAGAGGGTTTAAATGAAACACCTAAGCAAGGGTGTTAAGTATAGCAACTGGTAGGGAACCCTTGATCAGACTCCTTAAATAGGTAATATAGAAAAGTTACATGTGTAGCCAGTTGTACACTTGTCTAATAGTTCATTATAGATATATCTATATAAAACATATACCTGCTATAAGTATTAATAAAAAGCTTGGACCAAAGAGGTTATCTTAATACCAAAAAATATATATATATATATATATATAAATCTAATAAATTAATTTTTATAATTTAAAATTTTTAAAAATAATTTAATAACTTAATTTTTAATTTTATTTTTAAAAAATTATATATATAAAAACATATAAATTTTTATAATTTTTTTTAAAAAAACTTATTTAAATAATGAATATACTTAAGAGGTGTAGCAACCTAGTGAAGTGGTCAAGTTGTCAACCTCCAAGTGGCAGGTCCAGAGTTCAAATCTCAGTGTTGAGGAAAATTTAAAAATCCTTCCTGTGTTATAGTTAATTGTTTCTTACAATTAGTTAGGATAAGACACCTGTAATCTATGTCGCACCAGCATGACTGGCAAGTCACATGGAATTTGTGTAACAGTCACATGACATTGTTCTTTGGGACAAGGTCTGTGGTTACATGAAGGAATGCAAACTGGTACTAGGCAATGCAAACCTATAATAAGTTTTCATGATCATGTAAATTATAGAAACCAATAGAAGAAAGATGGAAGCCTACTTGGAAGACCCGAGTAAAGAGATAACTCAAGTTTTTGACAGTACTATTGTAAAGACTAAACTTATAAAATGAAACTAGAACTTGTGAAACCAGGCAAATATGCCAGTCTTTAAGGAGGAACTAGATGAACCAACCAGGCTATTAGAATTTCCAGGTTTTGGAAAAAAAGGATACATGCCAGCAAACATGTTGTTACAAGGTTGCAGCCTTCTTGGTACAATACAACCAAATAACAAGATCACTCAGTACAGTGATTAACTATTGCAAATATATACAAAATAAAGATATAGTAATTTACTTTACTACATAGCAATAGGCAAACGGTTCAAGATAATAACAGTATATAGATTAACTTTTTATTAACAATACACATGATGACAATCTTGCCTGTAGGAATTACCCTAAAGGGGAAATATCACACTTTATAATTAAAAGATTATTATGTCTGAGTTAAAGTATAGAAACTGAGAAAGAGAAAAAGGTATTCTTTATATATCTTTTTACCTAGTAAGGGTAGTGAAGATTTAAGTGACATCTTTTGATACTATACTTGAGGTAGTGAGGATTGTGCAAAGGCAAATGGAGTTTGTACAGAAATAGTTAGAACAATGTTTATGTGTATTTGTTATTTATATTTGAAACACTTGAGGTATGTGTCAAAGTACTTGGGTTTGTGCAAGGACACTTAGAATTGTGCAAAGACATCTGAAGATTGTATTAGGATACTTGGGAATTGTGTTGGGAATACTTGGGATTCTTATACTGTGGTATTTGGCACAGTAAATTGTACTAGGATATATAAAACTTGTGTAGAGATACTTGGAATTTGTAAGACAATAATGACATCGTAGATGTTACTCAATGTCATGTATCTGTATCACACTTCTAACAGCCAATTAAGATCTTATTTTCTAACTACTATATACTATAATATAATTATGCTAATAACTAATAATAAATATAATATAAAATACAATAATAAATATATAACAACTACTAATAATATAATATACTATACTATACTAAAAATCTATT